TGACAAATTTAATTCAATGATTAAATTCTTTTAGAGCAATACTTAACTTATTTCATGTGCCAGATTCATAAATCTACCGGCCAGATTTACACATGAAAACTTAGAAGCTTCTCATAAAAGGTGTATCATCAATCTCTATACTGAGACATGGATTCCATCAACTAACTAATTATTTCACCAATATATATTATTATCATCCAATTTACCAGGCATATTGACCCATCTCAGAATCTCACCTTTTAATAAATCAAAATGATAAATAATATATACAGATCATAATCGTTATATCAAGATTAAGAATATAAGTACATTTGATAGTTTAGAGAATATGTTTTTATCAATCAGTCTAAAACAACCATCTCTGCTTGGTCCCGTTCAATACATACCAAATGCACTAGCACGAGAAGTTAGAACTATGCCATTCTCATAATCAAGATAAATTACATTTAATCTCGTGCTACAATCTTTCTGATGATTTTGTCCAAATTTCCATCTATGATTGTGAACTATAAATTTTAACTTATAAGAACTGATGATTTAATCTTCTGTGTATAAGCTAAAACTCTATACACCAAATCATCTACTATATAAGTTAAGGACATATATATGACAATTGATCTATTTAATGTAACACTTTATTGAATTGAATAAATAAATAAATAATTGTTCAATATTAATACTATATCAAAACGCATGGTTAATAGTATATCCTAACAAGTTCTACCTAGACATAATGCAACCTCTCTTCTTCGTATATGTTACATTCTTCTATGGACATGAATTTTAAACAAAAAGGTGTCTTGCTTTGTTTATGAAACAACTAAACAAACCATAGAATGAACAAAGGAACCCCTCCATTCATAACCCAATAGACTTTATAAACAGTAAGGAATAAATCTCAGACTTATCATATCTCGAGTTGCTTAGAGGATAATAGAATAAATTACACTTTTAACACTAAACTAAACCTGCCACAATCTGATTATTGCATACAAATGCAACTTTTGTGGAATAGAGAGATTGTGGTAATTAAGATGCATGTATAACTAAATATTTCACTTAGTCCTAAAGTTATTTTCTCTCTTCTTCCGTAGGTACTTATTGGCAAGAGCTTACCAGCATGAGAGGACAATCAAAGTGTGACATTATGTAAATACTACAAAAGTAAATTTTCTTATGTAAATAACGTAGCCACAAACCATTGGCAACCATATGTATAATAATTATGTATATACCTACAAACGATTTTCAATGTGCAAGTGTGCATGCGTATTTAGCTCAAAAAAATCTTTTGAGGCAAGCACGGGCTTCTCTGCCTAGTACTTCATATACAAGGACTAAGGAGTAATAAAGTTAAATGAAGTAATATTGGGTAACCAAAGTTACTCGTTTCTAATACTTGTTTTACATTTTTTTTCTATTCTACTAGTGAATTTAGTTTTTATTTTGGGTTATCAACATGTGTGCTTGACATTTCATGATTTTTTTAAATTCCATATGCATAATATTAACATATCCACAATATTATCTATGCATAAATACTAATGAATCTATTTCTTTGTATTATTTTTTCATATTTTTATTACATTATTTTTTTTAAAAAATCATAAAAACAATAAGAGTATTTTTCTAATTTACCTTTTAATTTTTTGAATTATTTCTTTTAATTATTGTCATATTCATTTAAGAAAACAATTATTGACATGACTGTTGAAGCGTATTTTTAAAATTAATAATTTACCTTGCAATCCGTATTTGAAATATGAATTTAAATAGTTAGGTAATCCAAAGTGTGTATCTTTTGCTCATAAACACCAAAACACCGCATTTCATTTAATATGGGTTGAAGAGAGTATCATTTTTGTCAATTTTTAGTTGTTTAGACTTAGGTATCACAAATGAGTTCCTCACCACATACCTCCACCTTCACCAACAAATTTATAAGTCAATTCTCAAGTATGTATTTATATTTAATGAAAAATATTTTATTAGTGGAATATATATCCTTAAAATGTCACACCCTAATTTGTATTATGTAGTGATCAGCACACGCCCTTGACACCTGATATATTACTCTTTCGATCATATTTTATATGTCAATTCTTATGATAAATAGATGGATCACAATATTTGTCATTTATAAAATTTATGCATAAATTATCATATTTTGCTTATTATATTTTTGATAGATTAGTTAATAAATCTTGAAAATGTATTCATCATTTATTATAAAGTTGATTTAAGAAAACATTAAATAAGGATAGAAGAGTGAAATTACATCATTTCTTAATGCAAATGTAAAAAGTACAAAGGTGACGGAGGGACTATTTTTTAATGTAAAAAATGATTATTCTTTTTCTTTATTCTATTTTTATTTTATATTTTTTCTTCTTTTCTTTGACATTTCAAAGACTTTTGGTCATTATAGAATTTTTTTATTTGTGACCTTAAGATAATTACTTTTCTTAAGTTTGGGATATTATGTTTTTTCGATAATTTTTAACTTTGTACACGGATGTATCAATTTGAAGTATTTGGACCCTTTCCAAGATCACTTTTTGAGTTTTATATCATTGGATATTTAGTGACATAAAAAAAATCAATTTCTTAATCTAGGTTAAAATAATTTCACTAGAGATATTTCATCGTCAATCATAAAAAAAAAAATTGGGCTATAAAACTGGTGCATGCATTGGTACTTAATTTTTCCATGAAAAATTGATAATTTAGTCAATCTTGAATAATCAGATCTACATTTAATGATTTTTTTTACCAGAACAATATTAAAATTTGAAAAACTGAAAGATATGAAATATATTTGGATAAGAGATACGACTTTAATCGAGGAAACCCTTGAAAGTTTTGAGAATTTCCAATGTTTTGAACATACTGATTTGACTCACAACAATCTGAAATGAGAATTCATCTCGATTGTTTATGTTGATTATTTTGACATTGATGTACTTGTACAATAAATAATTTTGGGACTGATCTGAATATGTGTTTCTTCAATTTTGCGCGTTTTTGTTTCTTGTAATCGGAATAGTGAAAAATAAATCGTAAAAGGAACTAATTTTTAGCTTGATGTGTTATTTAAAACTTAGATTCATTAAAATTAAAACTTGTCACAGGAAGTGTATGTCACGTATATTTGTTAGTCTATTAGTATTGGGTTCTATGGGCCTCAAAGTGTTTGTATGTGTGTGATTTCTGAGCTAAGAGTGCTTGAAATTTCAATTTTTGAGTTGGGAGCGCTTGGAATTGAAGAATGTTGTGAATCTTAATTGTTAACTTGTATGAAATCATTATGTTTAGATCACTACCAAAAAAAGGCCAAAAAGAGACCTAGAAAAGAGATCTCACGAGGTCTCTTTTCGGAAAAAAGAGACCGAAAAAGAGACCTCAACGGTAGGTCAGTAAAATGCAGGTCACTTTTTTACAGACACCTCATGAGGTCGCCAAACGGAGACCTCACGAGGTCACCAACAAATTATCTGATTTTTTTTTAAAAAAAAGAGAACTCATGAGGTCACTACTATATTATTTAATTTAATTTTATATTTTTTTATATAGAGACCTCATGAGGTCACAATTTTATTATATTATTTAATTTTATATTTTAATAAAGAGACCTCATTAGATCGCTAAGATATTATTTAATTTAATTTTATATTATTTTAAAGGAGAGACCTTATAAGGTCTCTTTTCTGCATTTATTTTTAGCGACTTCGTAAGGTCTCTATAATGAAATTTACGGAAAATATAATGCAGAAAAGAGACCTCATTTATAAAATATAAAATGTTAATTAGAGACCTGATGAGGTCTCTATTATGAAATATCTGAAAAAATTAATGCAAAAGAGAGACTTCATGAGGTCTCTTTTCTGCATTTATAAAATAGAAAATGTTAAATAGAGACCTCATGAGGTCTCTATTATGAAATATCTGGAAAAATTAATGCAAAAAAGAGACCTCATGAGGTCTCTATTATGAAATATCTGGAAAATTAATGTAAAAAAGAGACCTCATGAGGTCTCTTTTCTGGAAAAAAACTAGCAGAAAATTATTATTTATGTGGCTTCTCATCACCTGTCATTTTAATTCAGTTTCCAAATCAAACTCAAAGAGCTTCAAAAAATCAATTGAAGCAATACATTTACTAAATATTCTCTTATCAACTCAATTGCA